TTTTTTTGTTTTTGTTAAAAAAAAAAAAAAAAAAAAATCAAACCGAAGGTTTAAGTAGCTGCTGGGGCTTCACTGCTGTCCATGGCCATGGAAAGACCTCTGCGTTTCATGATGTGCTGTGGCTGTCCTAGGGATTATTGAGTAGCTGTTTTTATATTGCTGCACTCTTACCATAAATTATAATTAGCAAAAGCTAACAAAACATTCCTTAAGGTTTTCTTGGTTTCACCTGGCCTTTAAGAACACACACATGAATGCTAATAATATGAAGGCCAGATTACTGAGGATTGCAGAATTTAATCCATTTTGCTTTTCATACACAGAGGAATATTCAAGCACAGGAAAACTATGTTACCTAAGGTAAAAAGGAAAGTACAAAGAAGGTAGAAAGGCACCTCTCTAAGGTACAAAGAAAAACAGTTGGAAAATTATTCATTAGAAAGATGATATTCTGTTACCTTTATGATGCTAACAAGCCTCTTGGGAGTACTCCTCTTGCAGCGTTTCAGAAAGGAGGAATACACTGCCAGAAAAAAGTCCCTGTATTAGACAGGAGGTTATACTTTAGCTTTGAAGTGATAGCTTTACGGGTACATTCTTACAAATGCAACTCTGTTTATTTACAGGTGTTGCCAGCTCTGTTTCCCTATGTTACATGTTAGTATGCAGATCAAGGGGCACGAAACAGAAAAATTGGACACCTTCCTGCTTGGGTTCCTGCTCTGTCCTCATGGACAGAAAAAGACAAGGCCAGTCCACCAAAATTCCACTTTAGTGGAAGAAACTGATGTTAAACGGTTCTGAGAAGAAAAAAAAAAAATCAGGCAAAAAGTGATTTGAAACTTGAAACCATGAGCTCAAACTCCCAACCACCTATTTCGACACTAGGGTGTTATATACTCCTATGGGAAATGCTGACTTTTGGTAGCAGCCTTAAAAAAAAAAAAACAACAACAAGTTAACTTTGTCTCCCTTGGCCACAAAAAGTAATGTGAGAGGTGCCCTAAGGTGCTATTGCTTAAAATGAGAATGTAAGGAAGTCACAGTGTCCTAGGACTTCTCGTCTTTCCCCAGATCTAGAGCTCCTTGCTATTAGACTTTGTGAGCTACTAGCGCCAGTCTATGAGCTCTTCCGTATGTTTTTTTTCTCCGATATATCAAGTTTGCCAATCGCAACTTTATTGAAAAAATATAGTTGGACCCTAACATATCTGATGAGGAAAACCTCTAAGTAGCAATCACAGCAATCACCTGCTAGCCTGAATAGAACTGTGTAAATAACTTACCACAGGACAAATTGGTCTTATCTTCATTTGCAAAAGACCTTCTGATCACAATGATGCATTTTATGTTACGTAACATGCACTATATGCCCATCTTGTCACACAGGTCCTCTCAGTGCAGGTGTGCCCACTGTCTCTAAGAAAACACTACTGATGCTTGAAATATGTCAAGCTTGAATAATCCATTCCTTTCTGAGGCTTTGCTCCATTCCAGCTTTCTTAGCAGGTTGTTCGGAGCTTTGAACAGTTGAGTTTTAAGTATCTGCATGGAGGGAGATTCCACAGCTTCTCTGGGAAATCTGTTCCGCTATTTGACTACCTTCACTGTAATTTTTTTTTTCTTTCCCCCTAGTATCTAATCAGAATTTCCCTTGTTATAACTCTCATCCCTTGCCCTTTTGCTGTGCAGCTCCCTGTCTTCTCTACAACCACCCAGTAAGGAGCTGCTGGGACAGTACAGTAAATAGTGTTGGCCATAGTTTCCTGTGGTTAAAGAGATTATTTTACTCTGATGACCTTGTAGTAGACAACATAAGATCTCAGAGAGGCAGACATAAAAGGGGTATCTCAGCTGCTTGCTGGAAGGCTGATGCTCCAGAATGGTTCCTCCATACAGCAGTGCTGAGTCAAACCCTGCTGAATCTTTGCATGCGAAGAGCTAGAGAGCAGAGCACAGTAGAAAATGTGATTCTGTTGAGTTTTTAGGAGGAGAAAGGGCCATTGCTTGATTGAGTCTTAACGTTCTGTGAGTTTAGGAAAGTTAAAACTGTAATCACATTTCTAGTAGTACTCCTTTTAAAATAATCAAATTATGACAGAAGTCTTGCTTGGACAAAGACTTCCAGTTTGAAACAGTACTGCTGTGTCTGCTTGTCCTCCCTCTACCCGAAATCTCAATACACTACCTTTATTAAGTCACATTTACAGGACAAAATTTTACACTATTTACATTAAAACAAGATAAATTTTGATGGATTAGGTTTTCCCCAACATCTCATTACCACCTACTCTTTTTTGTTGGATAATGTCTTTTCTGATTCAGAATATACCAAATACATTAAAAAAGCATTTGTGTAACCATGGCTGTTTCGGCAAACAAAAAAGCCATTCAACTGCTTGGCACTGATCTTATGTTGGCATGTTACACAGCCCCGAATCAACCAGTGAAGATCCCAGCTGCCTGCAGCTATTTCCAAATATTAGCTAGAAATGGAGGTGTTTAAAAAAAAAAAAAATTCCTTTTTAGTTATTTCAAATTAGTTAACACAAAATCTGATCCAAACCAAATTCTCAACCCTAAAGTAAAAGTAATTGTTTTTCCAGTCAGTCTCTTGACGTTAAAGGGGAAACATACACTAGTCAATAAAGAATTGTAATACATTTTTTAAATTATTATTTCTATATACTTCATCATTTGTCCAACAACTGTTCATTAAGTCACATATCTCTTTTCACTGAATTTTCCCCTTCAGGTATCAGAAAAAGCTAGTTTGTCTAAGTCGTGTTTTAAACTGCTCAACATAATCTGAAAAGGAAAGGACTGCCATGTTTTTTACGTTTGTTTTAACATTTACATTATTATTTATGTCCCACCTCTGCTGTCCCCTTACATTTCTGTTGCCCAGACAGTCCCAAGCTGAGGCTGCACAAGTGCCCACTTCTCCTTGTATTGTACCCAGTACTGTACTGTATTGTATCCTTCTTCTGACACCAGCCAAATAGTTCTGCTGCTGGCAGGCGCAGCTGAGTAGCAAGGTATGTCTGCTGTGACGGACTGGCTGCCTACCACAGTTTCTTGGTATTCCTTTTTCCCTCCTGCTTGAATCTTCTGTTGTAGACCTTACTTCACTGGAATCAGCCTTTATAGTGCATAGACAGTGGAAAACAACCACGCCTGAGAGAAAAAAGGCTACGACTATCTATGAAAGTATAGAACGTACAGAAAGGAAAACATAAGGACAATTTACCCGGTCACCCAAAAAGTTGCTTATCAGCCACGCTGTGGACAGATGCAGGACTGGGCGTTGTGTTTGGTGGATGTCCTACTGTGCCAAGCACTGCATAGATCTGAAGGCAACCACAGTTCCTAGAAAAGCTTACAATTGTACTTTAAACAGACACATGACATTGCCTTTTAATTATTTCCTCAAAGTTTCTATGATATCTTTTCAAGCCCTGAACTCTGGCCGCCCATCCTTTGCTTACCTCCTGCTGATGGTAGCCTAGGAGAGGTCCTTTGTGTCTATTCAGAGCCCAGAGTTCAACTCCTCACCTTTCACTGCCGCTGTGGAAACTTTATGAGGGTTTAGGCAAAGGCGACGGGGGTGTGTTTCCAAGCAGGAGCTGGCTGTCCCCTCCCAGATAAATCATGTGAAGCCAATGCCATGTCACTGTTAGTACTGGCAGTGTTCCCTGTGCATATGCGCATGCTGTCACTCAGCTAAGCATTTGGAATACATCTCTGCAGGTAAGAGTTTTTCATCACGAGTTAATGGCTGTATCTGAGAATAAAAAAAGCCACCTACACCTTAACGATAAGTAATCTTTATAATGCACTAACTCATGTTTTGAGCACAAAATAGTGCCAGTGCAACCAAATGGGTCAAAGGTGTATTCGCTAAAAGCAGTAAGGGTTACTGTGGAATTTCGCAAAAAAGCAGCAGTCCAATTTTCATTGTGTTGCACCAAATCTATAAATTACAACAATGCTGTTGCTATATAGTGTCCTCAGCCAGTGACAGGAATTGGTTCCATCTGTAAGGACAAGATACAAATAGGTTAGAATGTGCTTGGGCTCAGTTGTCTTTAAATACGATGTTTACAGACCATAAAGTCTGTAATTATGGTATTGCAGAGAGCAAGATGTAATTTGCAGTAGCATTGGTCTTTATTATGCAAATGTGGCCTCAATCTATGTTACTTACCTAATATACAGTGCTCTAATACGAACTAAGTTCTGAAAATTGAGGGTGTTACTCACCATAACCTTCCAGATTTATTTTTCCACACAAGAAAAAACAAGGAATATCACCCCTGCCTCGCAGTTAGCCTTGTATGGCCGTTCACAGGTGAAGCAACACACGCTCTTGTTTGGTAAGCAACATCTCAAGCTAGCAGCAGCTAGAGCTGCAGAGAGATTGGCAAGCGTGAATAATGGCGGTGCCTCGTTGTCTGTGCCTGGATTCTTGTACCTACCACTACATCTGTATTTTTATCAATTAACTTTTTTTTTTCTGGAAGGAGAGTACTCCCAGAACTCCCCTCCCAACTTCACGCTGTTTGTCCTCTTAGTGAGGTAAACATTCATTGTTGCTTCATTTCAGATTTAAGACTGTGTTACTGTTTTCATTGACACTTTCTCTTGACTAATCCTAACTATTCCCTAGTGGGGAAAGAGTTTGTAATTCTTAGCTGTTGCTACTAACTGTTATTTATCATAGACAGCAGACGCAACAGGCAAGAATGCAATCCCTTCAAACTATTTACACATGTGCAGAGGAGGAAGTGGAAATTGGCATTTCAAGATAGGAGTGCCATACGAATGTTGTCCTGTGCCGATCTTTATTCGGACTTGAGCTTGCACTGGGAGGACTGTTCACCCAATAGCCAAAAGTGGGTGATAAGGCAGTGAATTTCAGAGACCTCAGTGTTTCTTTTTAACCGCTGTTCAATTCCGACATGGGTTATCTCTGGAATATTTGTACCCAATAGGAACAGACAGCTCAGCATATTTGTTACAAGGATGTAAACGTAATTTACCTTCTGCTGCAAGTCTGTGTCTAGCGCAGGCTGGCAGTAATCTAAAAGCCACTTCTGTCTGTTGGCCAGCCTGTGCCCTGCACTGGCGTCTTCACCACAAACCCTCCGACGTTAGTGCGATCTTTGCTGAGGCATGCGAGGAGTCTGATTTCTTCTCAGCAGAAAGGCTTTTTGATCAGACGCTTCATAAAATAACTTCTCTTTGTTCACTCTCCACAGTTTTTGTAACAGTCACTGTTTGTTTTGCTGTTTGAAAAAAAACATTAGAAGGGGAAAAACTATGAATTATCTTTCAGGATTGTACAAACCCACACTGACAGTTCCTCTAACGTGGAAGAGGAATCTGAACTTAGTGCACCTCACCTAATCATTAATTCCCTACATTCTGAACTGTATTTCTAACCATCTGCCAGGGCACGCGTGTGCCACCAGCGAGTACTGCAGTGGTACACTTCAGAAACATCTGTGGAGCAATGGAAGGGTTAGGAAAATGTAAATGATGGCCTTGCCATTATGGTTCAAACATGTTCAGCGATAGTTGCATCTTTTAACTTTCAATTCACGTTTTAAGATTTCCGTAAGTAAGTTTTCTACCATTTGTGGTGCTGTTACTAAGCTCTAAAAGAAAGGCACAGCCGTTTCAACAGGGCACAATCCAGGACATGCAGCTCAAGCTGACTAACATGGAAATGTTGATCTAAAGCCCCTTCTTACACCTTGTGATGTAGTAGGTCTGCACACACAAACTATTTTGTTACTGTGGTCTTAACCACATAGAGGGTGGGAGGACTCTTTAAGAACCTGCTTTGGAGTGCTGGACTTGGAAGCAAGGTTGATAACTTCCAACTACAAGAACTATAGGATTTTTTTAAAGAGCAGGGTGCCTTTTCCAGCTATTCATCATCTTTATTAGCCATGATGAAAATGGGCCATGATTGAAAAAACAAATTCTGACCCCCTTGAGCAAAATATGTTTCCAGCTCTCACCACCAGTACTTGTAAACATCCTCAAATAGCTTTTTTTTTTAAACTACATGCAAACGGTTAAACATTACAAGCATAATTTATCACAAGTGATTATTTCCTGCAATACATTTTTTTATTAGAGTAGCAAGGCACGCATATTTTCGGTGTCCTGAGAAGATTCATCCTCCCTTTTTCCCTGGATTCAACATACCTTCAAGGGCTGGATTTATGAGCAAGAAACATACGTATTTTGCTCTGAACTCTTTAGGAAAAAAAATAATTCTAACCTTGTATTTACAGAGTGCCGTAATCTAACCTGCTATATTTACCTGCTAACAACGTATGTTTTCTTGGACAAAATCCCAAACTCAAGTGACCACGGGAAGAAAGGTGATTACTTTCTGCCAGTCTAGCATATTGCATAATATATAAATTACACAACGCAAGAGACTGCAGAGCTGAGAAAGCAAAATGGTACTATCTATAATCTATGAAGATAAACTTTGAATCAAAATAACGTTCAGTAACGGGATGTTGTAAGATGCTGACAGCACCAAGGTCACTTGATAGCGAGCAGCCCTTGGAAAAACCTCTCCTTTTCTAAGTGTTATGTTTCTGTTGAGGTAGGAACATTAAATCTGAGACACTGAACTATGCCTTAAGTATAAAAGATATCAAGATTTGTTTTTCCAGATACTTGTATCAAAATGATAGGCAAGTAGCTGAGATTAAGTGAGAGGAAAGACTCCCAAATGGTAGGCAGATAACAATTCTGCAGCAGTACCAGAACTGCAGTATTTTATAGCAGATGCAACGCTGTCCAGAAGGCTGGCAGTCTAAAAGGAAGGAAATACTATCTAAGCTTAATTATTAGTAGACAAGCTTCCAAATAAATTCAGTATCTGCCGTCAGCATCAGCCAGCAAAGCAAGTGTTGGCAGCTATGTTACATAAGAAGTTACATTATGTTGCCTTACCGGATACAAACTTCCGTTGCTAATGTGTTTTAGCATTTCTGGAGCAGGAGAAGTCAGCCTAAAGGTTTGCAGGCATGGTAGGTACTTGAACAACAACTTCCAAGCTTCTGCAGGAACAGGCAGGACTTCCTCAGCTAATGAGCTTGCTACGCACCACAACGTATGAGCAACACGTGCCAGGACAGCGGCAGCGTGCCCTCACAGCCTTGAAAACTACACCCTCTTCGTGCTCCGCAACCCACGGCTGGGCCGTGCAGCAAAGGTCCGTGAGTCCGCCGGGAGACTCACGCCTCGCAGCGGCCCAGGCCTGACGCAGGCCGCGGCCTAAGGGTCACTGCTGTGACCCGCTCGCCTCCCTTTGGCGAGGGAGGGGCGGACGCTATTTCTTTTGGGGATGTCCAGCCAGGGCCTGGCACTGTCCCTGCCCCAGGGGCCCTGGCTGCGGGGTTGCTGGGGGGCTCCCCGCGCCGGCACGCTGGAAGTCCACCGAGCCTACGGCCGCCCGGCCTCGAGGCCCCCGTTCCCTCAGGGAGAGGACGGCACCTAACTCCCTTATGCCTCCCCCCGCCCGCGGACGTTGG